AAACTTAGAAACATACTTAGTAGCCAAAAGTATGTTGTAGCTTTGCCTTTTCAGTGACTGACGATAGATGTTTGTTTTGGTCCATACAAATTTCCATTTTGATATAGATCAAATATGAATTCTAGTTCACCTACATCATCCCATTTCAGTGTTTATAAAACAGCCTTTGTGTGGTCCATTTGGTCAAAGGTCTGTCTAGCACATTTGTGTAACTGATGCATGGTGTATACCCATGCTTTGCATTGTGGGTTTTGGGCGACTGCATTGATGGGGTCAGAATTCAGTCAAGTTTAGCATCTGGGAGGCTAAGTGGGTGGTGGTTCTATTGTGTATGGATTAGAGTACGTTATTTCAATCCAACGTGGGCATCCGGAGAAGTTGCTGTCTCTTGGCTCTGCCCGTGTGGCGTACGGGAGCGTAGGCTTTCGAGCTCCATGACGTACAGTCCCATTCCACGACGTTGGAGAATAAGCTTGGGCCTCTGGTCTGCAGCCTGCATATTCCTACTGCTTCTCTGAGTCTTTGGACTGTGACTGAGGAGATAAACCATGCAGGAGACATTACATTACCCAGATGGCTTCTTCACTCTGGGAAGTCATATTCTGTAACCCCATCAAATTCCTTTAGACAGACTGAGCAAGGATTCACTCAGTTGTTCTAACATGTTGTTTGCTTGTTCTATTTCAGCAGCTTTGCAAGCAGTGCACGCCTGCCCACAAGGTGAGGACTTGTGTCACTTACAAATTTGTGTGTTTATAAAAGTACCCTTCCACTCCCTAGTATTGTTTTCTTGTACGCTTGGGCTGGGTCTGCATGGTAGCCCAGTTTACCCAAAATAACATGGAATCCTGGAGATGTAGAAGGCTCAGCAAGGATAGCAAAGTTCAACTTTCTTGTAACTAAACATGAACTACCCCCTGTTAGAAAGCATAGGCGGTGATCCTACTTTCTCACAGTAAAGGAGTACTCTGTTGTGTCTCTGCAGGATCAGGCTTTTGGGGGAGCATGGAGTGGTATATTTGAAATCTTGTGTCAACAACCGTGTTCTCAATTTAGTTGGTGTTGGTCCTGCTTTGAGCAGGGGGTTGGATTAGATGACCTCCTGAGGTCCCTTCCAACCCTAATATTCTATGGTTCAATGCATATATGATTTTGTATAATAATTGAAATTTAGAAGCTATGTTGTAGCTTTGCCTTTTCAGTGACTGACGATAGATGTTTGTTTTGGTCCATACAAATTTCCATTTTGACATAGATCAAATATGAATTCTAGTTCACCTACATCATCCCATTTCAGAGTTTATAAAACAGCCTTTGTGTGGTCCATTTCTTCAAAGTTCAGTTTTCACAGCATTACCCGTAGTCTGTCTAGCACATTTGTGTAACTGATGCATGGTGTATACCCATGCCTTGCATTGTGGGTTTTGGGCGACTGCATTGATGGGGTCAGAATTCAGTCAAGTTTAGCATCTGGGAGGCTAAGTGGGTGGGTGGTTCTATTGTGTATGGACTAGAATACGTTATTTCAATCCAACGTGGGCATCCGGAGAAGTTGCTGTCTCTTGGCTCTGCCCGTGTGGCGTACGGGAGCGTAGGCTTTTGAGCTCCATGACGTATAGTCCCATTCCACGACGTTGGAGAATAAGCTTGGGCCTCTGGTCTGCAGCCTGCATATTCCTACTGCTTCTCTGAGTCTTTGGACTGTGACTGAGGAGATAAACCATGCAGGAGACATTGCATTACCCAGATGGCTTCTTCACTCTGGGAAGCCATGTTCTGCAACCCCATCAAACTCCATTAGGCAGACTGAGCAGGGATTCACAGTTGTTCTAACATGTTGTTTGCTTGTTCTATTTCAGCAGCTTTGCAAGCAGCGCACGCCTGCCCACAAGGTGAGGACTTGTGTCACTTACAATTTTGTGTGTGTTTATAAAAGTACCCTTCCACTCCCTAGTATTGTTTTCTTGTACGCTTGGGCTGGGTCTGCATGGTAGCCCAGTTTACCCAAAATAACATGGAATCCTGGAGATGTAGAAGGCTCAGCAAGGATAGCAAAGTTCAGCTTACTTGTAACTAAACATGAACTACCCCCTGTTAGAAAGCATATAGGCGGTGATCCTACTTTCTCACAGTAAAGGAGTACTCTGTTGTGTGTCTGCAGGATCAGGCTTTTGGGGGAGCGTGGATTGGTATATTTGAAATCTTGTGTCAACAACAGTGTTCTCAATGCATATATGGTTTTGTATAATTGAAATCTAGAAGCTGTGTTGTCGTCCCTTTGCCTTTTCAGTGACTGACTATAAATGTTGGTTTTGGTCCATACAAATTTCCATTTTGATATAGATCAAATATGAATTCTAGTTCGCCTACATCATCCCA